AACACTTGTCATACTTGTTAAAAAAACATCCTCTACGTGTTCATGATTTTTATACATTATACGTTACTTTTTCCAGGGTTTAAAACGTCACATAGTAAAGCTACGTTGTTGTTACGTCTTGTATAATGAAATAAATTAATGTTGTATATATAAAGCTGGAATTGACATTTTTAACATGTAAATGTTTAACTGTTGTATTTATTAAGATACCTAAAAATAATCCTTACAACCGACGTACGTACACTCGAGATATTTAAAAATTAGACAATGCCATAAAAATAAATAGAAAAATTTGTCCCATTTCTTACTTTTTTCTAACCATGAAAATGTAATGGTCTTTGAAGTGAAACTTGTATAGTTAGTTTCTTGTACTTTATATGTCAAGACAGAAGTAACCGTGGCCACAGTGTGGTGTGATCTCGTCTAGACTCAACATTGTATAACTTCAATATCAGTAGTTTTAATTATCTATCGGGCAAACATTCAACATAGAATTTTGATTGTTTCTTGAGGACTAATGCTGTATTTTGTTTCAATGGTTATTTATAATAAAATGATTTGTTCAACATAGATTAAGAAATTTGATATTTTAATTTTCAAAAATTAATCAGTCGTTTTACATTATTGTATTAGTATTATTGATATTAATATTATATTAATCTTTTTTTTTTGTTTCCATAGCTGAGAAACATCTGTGAAGACTTTAATAATAAGTACGAGGAAGTATCGGAGTCCGTCACTGCTTCCAGTAGGTCTTCTATTGGATCTAGAAACCTTACTAGTGGTCACCTTGGGAGTTTATGTAATAAAAAATTGCCAGAATTTGAGCTTCGCCCCTCCATGAACATGCACACGTACAAGACATGGACGCATGAAATTGGACCAGTACTGAAAGAAGTCCGGCAGACTCTAAGTGATAAAATATTGGAAGTTGGAAACATGATTATGAATGAACAACAATGTAGAAACGAGGTAATCCACTACTGGATTAAAAATGTAAATTAACGTAAGAGAAACGTTGCTTTATAAACATCAAGTTTGAAACATTTTGTACTTCTTTCCCTTCAAAACAGTTTTTCACCCGGTTAAACGGCAGCTTAAGAAGTTGTGTTTAAGTTGTACGAAGTACAGGAACAGTCTCTCAAATAAGGAGCCTTTCTTGCAATAGACTTTCTAATACAAATGTGTTGATTAATCCTTTCTTACCAGGATATTTTTCATTAGGTGAATAAAAGCATCTGCTCTATAGGAAGTACAATTTATGGGGAACCCAGTTGGCTTGGTAGATTAAAGTTGTTGTTTTCTAACGCTTAAAAATGGCTCATCAACATATTTTAGTATCTCATAAACCTTAGTATCATGACTGATCTCCTCAAGCTCTTCAGAAATATTAAATACTCTTTACGCAAAAGTTTTGTGACTCGTCTAAAGAACTGGAGTTTAGAATGAATAGCTATTGTTATTAGTATTGTGTTTAAATTTCTTTAATCATACTCATTTATAGAAGAGATCTAACATCTAATCTTCTGTACAGTTTGAAATACAAGCTACAGAACAAACAAGATGTATTGAAATTCAGGAAAGCCAACTACAAGAAGAACAGCAAGAAAGTGATGTTCGCAAAAAGGTGATGTCTCATTTCTCAAACTTTTTTAATTTCTTTGTCTGAGTAAAAGTGCAAATAATAATAATTTCCACACCGTTATACCACCTCCAGTAATTTACATCACCAAAACAATATAAGGATAGTGAAGGTCATTTTATTTTCTTAACCAGATATAACTGCATATAATTACTAGCCACATGTGTTGTGATGATATTTTTAATTTCTTACAAAACATTTTTAACAAAATCTCGTATTAATTTCAATTCAATAATAGAAATCTATTGATTTATGTTTCTCGCACGTCAACAATTTTGAACTAGTTTTTCTTTTGTTAAGTTTCCGTTAAAAATACAAATTAGAATGAGCTAAATAACGTACATTGCATATAATCAATGTGAGTTTGTCTGAATCTGAAAATGATCTTGTATTTGATTAACCTTGTAGCATGAAGAGTTCCAGTTTAACAAATACCACACAGAGTATACAAACCTGCAAGAACAGCTACTTAAAGAGAGAGACAACCAGCATGCAACAGAAGCAGAGGAAGAAGCTGAATTACGTAACTTAAGAAAAACGTGGGTATTGTCATTGTTCTGAATCTCGTACTTTATTGGGGGAGGGGGGAGAATGATATTTTCACATTTCTGTTTTTTTTACTGATTTTAATTCTTTAAAACTTCAACTGATGCAGAAAGACTTGAACATTTCTGTGACATGAATAAACATAAATATGTTTTTATAGATATAATCTCTTTAATGTTAACGTACTTTTTCAGTAAATTTTGTTTATGGCGAGACATTAGTTGTATCCACCGTAGAGCAAATTAACAAAACAGGACACATGCACATTAACAAAACAGGACACATGCACATTAACAAAACAGGACACATGCACATTAACAAAACAGGACACTCGCACATTAACAAAACAGGACACTGCACATTAACAAAACAGGACACATGCACATTAACAAAACGGGACACTCTCACATTAACAAAACAGGACGCATGCACATTAACAAAACAGGACGCATGCACATTAACAAAACAGGACACTCGCACATGCACATTAACAAAACAGGACACTCGCACATGCACATTAACAAAACAGGACACTCACACATGTTCAAACACATTAACAAAACAGGACATGTTCAGATTGTATGGTAAGTAAATAGACAATTCTTTATACCTAAGTTGACTAGGTTTCATTAAATCAGCAAACGGATTCTTCAGAATCTTTGACTCAGGCCTGTTTATTGTACATTGCCCAATGTGTGTGAGTGTTTCTTTAGCTTATGCGTGTAACAGAACTTGAGTAGATCTAAATCTCCATCCCTCATATTTCTCTTGAGGGTTCCATGAGTATGCCTTTTGGAGTTTAGTAGATATCAATACAGTAGTATGAGGAACTGGTGAACAAAAAAAAGACACCCTCCCCCCCCAAAGTCATTGGTATGCATGCCAGATTGGGTTGAGATAGATAAAAAACTGGAGACAGATAGAGGGATCCATCGGGGACAGAGCAAAATGAACTCTGAAACCCCTATTATGCTTCCTAATTGGATAACAAGTTGGCTGACATTGCTAGTTTCATTCAAAACAAACACAGAATGACATGTTAAAAAGAGAAAACGGGTGTTTTGGGTAACTTTGTTGTATTTGGATAATTAAGGGTGTATCCCAACTTTGGTTGAGATCAGTTCAAACCTATAAGCATAGAACACTGAGTCCTGCAGTGGGTCAGTGGTAAGTTTATGGACCTACATTGCTAAATCCAGGACTTGATTCCCGTTAGTCTTACAGTGGGTCAGTGGTAAGTTTATGGACTTGCATCACTAAATCCAGGACTTGATTCCCGTGGGTCAGTGGTAAGTTTATGGACTTGCATCACTAAATCCAGGACTTGATTCCCGTGAGTCCCACAGTGGGTCAGTGGTAAGTTTATGGACTTGATTTGAACTTCCCAACTGGAAAATCTTGTTGATGGTTTTACTTATTACCTGAAAACCTTGTTGAACTACAAAAACAACATACAAGCTGGTTTTACTTGTTACTTAAACCTTGTTGAACTACAAGAACAACATACAAGCTGGTTTTATTTGTTACATGAAAACCTTGTTGAACTACAAAAACAACATACAAGCTGGTTTTACTTGTTACCTGAAAACCTTGTTGAACTACAAAAACAACATACAAGCTGGTTTTACTTGTTACTTAAACCTTGTTGAACTACAAAAACAACATACAAGCTGGTTTTACTTGTTACTTAAACCTTGTAGAATCACAAGAACAACATACAAGCTGGTTTTACTTGTTACTTGAAAACCTTGTTGAACTACAAAAACAACATACAAGCTGGTTTTACTTGTTACTTAAACCTTGTTGAACTACAAGAACAACATACAAGCTGGTTTTATTTGTTACCTGAAAACCTTGTAGAACTACAAGAACATCATACAAGCTGGTTTTACTTGTTACTTAAACCTTGTTCAACTACAAAAACAACATACAACCTGGTTTTATTTGTTACCTGAAAACCTTGTTGAACTACAAAAACAACATACAAGCTGGTTTTACTTGTTACCTGAAAACCTTGTTGAACTACAAGAACATCATACAAGCTGGTTTTACTTGTTACTTGAACCTTGTAGAACTACAAGAACATCATACAAGCTGGTTTTACTTGTTACTTGAACCTTGTTGAACTACAAGAACATCATACAAG